AACATTATATAACAGTTATGTTCATTTGCAAATAAACAAGTAACGATGTGTAGACCACAGGAAGAATAGCCTCTTATGAGGCTAATTGTGGATCTGAATAAAACTGAAACTCAAACGTTCATGTCAAAATTGATTTTCTCATTGTATGCATGTTTATATGCGACTGTACATATAGTTTATAGATGTAGATGTAGATGTAGATTCCTTCAGGCCAGGTAGGAATACCTTCCAGTTTGGGCCGCTCTTGGCTTCAGCCGACAGTCATCTCAGGTCGCATGGGATGATCCAGGGCTCTGTAGTTGTATACTACAGGGTGTAGTCTCATATGTTTATCAAATCTGGTTTTGAAACAGTTCACGCTGGGAGCTGTAATCACTTCTTCCGGTAGACTATTCCACCAGCATACTGTTCTTATGGTGAAAAAATAAAGTCTTGTGTTTGTTTTTGCTGGCATCTCAGTGTACCTAAGACGCGCTTTCTTTCCCCCAGCAAAGATCTCATTTTAATATTATAATGACATTGAAATGAGCAAGGTGCGAGTAGAAGATCGTAAATATGCAATAGGTATGGTGATAATTGCTGTAGCTTCACCACCCACTACCCCTCCTGCTATTTTGCATTTGTATTGAGCTAACTTCACACCCTCTTTGTATTTTCAGTGTTCCATGTCAAAAGACTTCATAGCTTGAAAAGAAAGTAAAAATGAAAAACATTTTCTTAAATACAGCATGGAGGTTTACCTCCATGAATACAGCATGTATTCACCAGATCTAACTCAAGTCTATATAACAGGGTCTTATAAATTGGCGATGGAGCCCCGATTTCAACTGTGCGAGGTTGTAACCTCCTTGATTTCAGCATGGAGGTAGAAAAAAGACCTCCATGGTTTCAGCCATGTTCAGACAATCTTTGTCCTCCATTTTAGTACCAATACATAGTGTATTCCGAATTCCAGGAGATTATATTACGGACTAATCAAGGAGGTACATTTGTACTAGCGTTCGCATCGTGTGAACCATAGAGGTAGAATTATAACCTACTCGTGTGAACGAAGACGCACGCTATAGCACGCTATATAGGTCCAAAGATATAACAAGGAGGTTATAATCTCATAGTCCCTGGTTATTTAGCCATCGTGCGTCGCTCAAAGTCCAACTGACAAGGGCTGACATTCACAAGGCCTGTGTATTATATATATTTAGCCTCTACCAGGCTTCGGAAGGCAGCAGGAAAGACAAAGAGTAAGAAATTGGTCGATAACATGCACCTGGGCGCGGCAAAATGTACTTTCTAGCAGACCAACTCCCTCGGCATATTATCTCTCTATTTGGCCAATTTCTAATATTTCCAGCCACCTCCCAAAGACTGGTCGATGCTACTGTGAGAGACTACGATGGCCATAGTTTACAAACAGGATTCAAAATGACCATTTTATGTGCTAAATGTTCTTTAGTGGCCCCTATTATTATTAAAGAAAAACTAGTACTAACCACTATGTAGCAAATCAAAGCTACCATTATGTACTAGTAACATTTTACGTCAAAAAGATTAAGTTAAAGCACGTGCACGTACATGCGCTCAAAATGAACATTCTGAAAACGGAGGGATGACAAGAAACTACATGAACTGTATAATGGTATAAGCAAGGAAGTTTAGGGAAATACGGGACATGGTCATAGGTACATGTTTGGAGCCAGACAAGTCAATACACATCAAACGATTTTTCATCTCACTGGGCCAGGGTTAAAAGTCTATTAGAAATTTTCTTCAGATTAACACATCTAGCTATCTTCTACCCAACAGGCAGAGCTGTTGTTCAGGTTCATAGCTGCTATGTATAAAACTACATTTCAAACCCAGAACTTTCAATTCGAGGAGTAAGAAACAAATGTTTAAAAACAAAGACTTTTGTGGTAAAGTGGAATTTGAATGGATACATGCTGCCGTCTGCCCTCTATGCATAATTAAAGATAATTGCCCGTAATGGCCTTGAGTGGAGGTGCGAAAACAATTAATTTCATTCACAGTCATGAGGCTTGATAGAGATTGACAGGTCAAGGAAGGAAATCGACCAGAATTTAGAGTTTTAAACTTTAAAGCCCGAGACCAAACTCTTCCCATTGGGTTACAAAGTTGAAATCGGGTGCAAACAATGCGTAAGAAGTCGGTTTCTATGAATCGGTTTTCAGAAAAACTACTTTATCCCCTTATATCTAGCTATTGGTAGATAAAGTCATACCTACCCCCTAGAATTGTACCAAAATGGACTATATTTATAAATATTTTCAAATCTAAGCTATATTCTTCTTTTCTGGAAACCGATTCCTATAAAGTGCATATCTCTCCACATTCTCTGAAAGTTTTGTATTACAATTCTGAGCGGAAGGGTTTGGTCTAGGCCGATTTTATATAGTCACAATGATCTAATATTATTATCATTTATGGAACAATTATGCAGATTTTTGAAGGAAGAAGTAGTTATTTAGAATCAGTGGTATTTCATCTAAGTTACTTCCAAATTTGAAGTTGATTGGTCGCGCCAAACTTGAGATACATGCGATTTCACGGGTAGCTCTGTATCACCCCCATTTTAGTCCAAAGCGCGTCTTAGGTACACGGAGATCCTGCTTAGTTTCAGCTGGTGCCCTCTTGTTCTTTTATCCGATACAGTAGGTATGGGGCATTTAGTATCATACAGGCCATGGGTGTATTTGTAGACATTAATCATATCGCCCCTCAGTCTTCTGTACACCAAAGTAGGAAGCTTTAGTGATCTGAGCCTGACTTCGTATGGAAGTTCATGTAAGCCCGGCACTCTTTTGGTCGCTCGCTTCTGTACTTTTTCAAGTTCTATGGCAAACTTCCAAGTATGTGGCGACCATATAGGAGCTCCATACTCCAGATGTGGGCGTATGATTGATTTCAGACATGTTGTAGGTGTAGTCTGGGTGTCCATTTCCTACTCTCAGGACCATACACTTGTCTGGATGAAAATTTAACTGCCACTTAGTGGCCCAATTCTGGAGACTGTTCAGGTCTTGTTGTAGGACTTCACAGTTTCTTAATTCTGGAACTGGACTAAATATCTTCGTGTCGTCTGCAAACAACTTCAAAGGACAGCTCACCATATCCGGCATATCATTAACATAAATAGTGAAAAGAACCGGTCCCAAGACGCTTCCTTGTGGGACTCCACTATACACCTCACCCCACTGTGAACTGCTTTCGTTAAGGCATACTTTTTGTTTCCGGTTTTGGAGAAAGGATGCTATCCATTTCAGAAGATTTCCTCTAATTCCGTAACTTTCCACTTTGTTTAGAAGTCTTAAGATGGGTACAGAGTCAAAAGCTTTACGAAAGTCCATATAAATTATGTCAACCGGAAGACCCTGGTCCATCCATGTTGTCCAGTTTTCCATGCATTCGAGAATTTGTGTAACAGTTGATCTCCCAGGGAGAAATCCATGCTTCTTCTTCTCCGTTACTGCCCAGCCCTACAGTGTAGGTTTATTGGCAGCCGTTACGCATTGTTAGTAACATTGTGACATAAAAAACAAAGGGAAAACAAGGATAATTGAGAAAGGAACATAAGACAACTGATTTTGTGTGTGCTAAAGACGGAACAAGTGCATTTGTGCATTAGTAATATTTACATATACAATGTATACAAGACATGATGGGGTGGCTCAATGCAGCAGGGTCCTCGCCAGTTCAGATTTGAACTGGGCGAGAGACCCCGCCGCCGCCACACCAGGCTCAAGTTCGTTCCATTCTGTCAGGAAGCCCACTTTAATTCAATTGTTATGCTGTTTTTCATCAGCATTATGTATGTCTTTGTGTGTTCCAACATTAATGTTGTTAAGAAAAACAAGATTTTCACTATAATTGTATTGTACAATGTTTTGAAGTGGAACTTTTAAGTACTGTACATATATGTTTCAAATGAGACGTTTGTTTGTATTTTCCTTGTACTTTTTGTAGAAAAACTGGATGACTGTACTGTTTCTGCTGAGGTATTTCAAAGGGCGCTTGGGAAGCAGTTGTTCTTCTACTTTAGACATGTGAGTAATATTATAATAAATAGGGAAGAGTTTTGTTGTGCTGCACTTAGATGCATATGACCAGGGCTCGATATACTGCAGGGTTCTAGCTAGGATTTAATTTTAGCATAGTGGCACTGGCCACATGATGAGGGAGCGAAACTGGATGCATATGCACCTAAGTACAGGTGAAATTTCTGATGTCTGCCTGCAATAACTCAGCACTGGTCCATGTACTGGGGTTATATACTAGTAGGTGTATGTGGATTTTTAAACCTTCACCAATGCAGGTACCTGTATTTTGAACACTGAAAGTGTAAACTGACATGTTGAAAATTTAACATAGCCTTTTATGACAAAAATACCACATTCCATGGAAATGTTGAGCAAAATGTGGTGGGTTTCTACTAGTATATGGTTAATCCTTCCCTCTGTACCCAGGTCCTGTGTGTGAGACAGTACAAGGATGCGCTGTGGGTGTGGCTGATGGTACAGGATAAGAGCAATACTGTGTGGACTCCCAGTAACATTGTACACATGGTGTACTACCCTGCCTCTCCCTACATCTTCACTTCAACCATGAAAGCTGAGTATAAGGAATACATCCTACAGGTAATACATTGGCAGGCTATAAACATGCTGCAGAAACCAAAGTATTATAATAGTGAAGATCTATATTTCTTTGTTAGCAATCCAGGAAAAATACTAAAATGTTTTATGTCTTAGCCTTTTCACATTTGTGTGTAACCACTTGACAATTATTACGTATACAGTGAGTTTCATCATTTGCATCATCTGTGACATTCCTTTCAAACTGTAATAACTTCTTTATGTTGCGTCTCTGATAAAATTATGCTTGCATTTCCAGGCTTTACTGCTGACCATAGGATACAGTAAGGCCCAGTTCATGGACCTGTCGGGGAGGGATGTTGAATCCGTGGCAGAGTTGGCAAAACGCAGACACAACCAACATGTCAGTCCTGAGTCTCAGAGGAGCAGAAAGAGGAGGAAGCAAGGTAAGGTGTTTTATTCCATATTAGTACATTTGTAAATACTTCCAGAAATGGCATTTGCAATTTTATTTATCTATTTATGCCACACCAATTTGATCCGTTGGTTCTTGGATATTTAAAGAAACAACATGAAGTGACAGGGCAAAAAATACATTATTAAAAAACAGACCTAGGCATCCTGTAAAAAAATTAAGTAGGCGAATCTGAGAACCAATTACATGTACATGTAGTTAGATTGGTGTTGCCTAAGTATTTGACTTAGTAATTTATGAGCTATTGAAGTTATCAATCTCAATTGTAATATCATCATCCACTGTATTCTGCATCTGTATAGTAGTATATATACAATTTTACTGCCAAATTGTAACAGAATTTTTTTGTTTTTGTTATTTTTTGGTTTGGCTATTCAACAGACACAGCCAGGACAGCCCTACTAGCCACTGGCTATTACAAAGGGCTTGACCTGCTGACAATACATGACAAACCATTACAGTAACAATATGATATGTGTAGCTTAACAGCCTATAACATTATTCTACGTAAATAAAAACTTTAATAACTAGAAATTGATTTTAGCCAAGTATTTATACACTGTATTAAGATATAATATGTAATATACATTGTAATGAAACTAGTCCTATCTAACAGGTAGTGTTAAGTTTACTGACAGCTTAAAAACCACTGGATATTTCTGATAAATTCCACACAGCAGTTTGTAACATTTTTGCTTTTGTTGATATACACATAATAAGAGTCATTGATTTACAAGAAAAGGTGTCTTTCCAAAAAACATTTAAATATCTTCTAGAGCAAGTGTGGGAGCCTTGGTGTGTACATGTACAAATGGCACCCAGGCTACAGGACTCCTACTCAGGGCTAACCATTGCAGTTTGTTAGTAGTTCTTCAAAGCAACAATCTATCAATCCATCTAATCAATCATCTAATTGCCATTAGGCAGCAGGGATGTGTATGTATGCTGCTGCTGACTGCTGGGGTCCCTCAGGGGTTCATAGTGGTTAGGGCTGTCAGCACCAGGGGCAGCTGCTGTCTGTGATTGGTTATCAACTGACTCATCCTCATTCTCATATATGACAACCTGCGGACCAGCTTCAGCATCTTTAGCAGCTGCTGTCACACAGCTGTTCACATATTTGTGGGACTGTGGACCTTCTCCAGAACACAGGGAGGGAGATGGAACCTCATAACCATCGTTAAAGCTGTCAAGACTCTGCCTGTTGCCTGCACCTCTGTGTGGACTTTCTGACTGATTGACCTCACCTATGGTGTTGTACTCTACTGTATCAGGGTCCTCATCTGTTGGGAGGTTATAGATATGCTGGCTGTCTTCTGTATCAGGATGTGGTGTTTCAGATTGACTGTTTATGCCTGCATTTGTTGTAAATCCATGCTGCCTTATCTGGTCATGGCGACTGGATGTGCCTGTGGGGTTTGTGTTACTAAGATCCCTTTGCCTCCTCTTAAACAGGTACAGTATTGTAAAGGTACTAGTACAGATAAGGAGGAGTCCAAAAATAACTCCCAAAGCAGCAAGCAAGGGCACAGACAGGACAATGCCACCACCAGTAGGGCCAGGGTTGCTCTCTGTCATTGTGGACTGAAAACCAAAAGGAGAGTCAGAACTGACTGTAGACGGGCCTGGGTTAGAGTCAGCAGTGGGAGTGTTGCTCTTTGTCAGTGCCTTTGATGTTGACTTTGCTAAAGGATCAAACTGGAGGAGAAGAACTGACTGTAGACCAGCCATGGTTAGAGTCAGCAGTGGGGGTGTTGCTCTGTGTTGGGGGACAATGTTGGTGCCTTAGTTGTTGACTTAACTGACTGATGGAAAGGAGAAGAGCTGATGAATGAAGACAAGCTTAGAGTAAGAGTAGAGTCAACAATGTGTTTTGTGCTGGAAGTGGAGTAGACTGGTGTCATGTCTTCACAGATCAGGTCTTCAGGATTTACATCCTGTAAATATTGGCCTATCAAGTTTGCAGGTCCAGCACATCTGATCTGGTTTTCGAATGGTTTAGACCCGTTCATCCTCTGCCTAAAGGGAGCCATCATACAATCACACTGCCAGGGGTTGTTGTCAATGCGTACATTTGAAATGGAAGCCAGTATGTCATATGCCATGGGGGGTAATGTCTCTAATTGGTTATTGTTTAATGAAAGCTCTGACAGCACTGAAATATTCAAGTTTGATAAGGCCTCTACAGGGAAAGTGTTGATGTTAGTATGATAAAGACTCAGTATTTGAAGCTGAAGCAGATTCTCTAATGTGTTGGCTGTGATGGTGCCAATTTTGTTGTACCCAAGATTTAGATCACGTAGCTGTGTTGTGTCACTGAAGGTGCCTGCCTCAATATTGTGGATGTCATTCCCATTAAGGTAAAGCTTCTCTAAGTTGCCAAGTCCCACAAATATGTCATCTGGCAGACTAGTTAACTTGTTACTGGAAAGTCGCAAGTCTTTTAGATTAGCTAGTCCAGCAAATATGTCATTTGGCAGGCTAGTTAACTTGTTATCGGAGAGCCACAATAGTCTCAGGATACCAAGTCCAGCAAATATGTCAGTTGGCAGATTAGTTAACTTGTTACTGGTAAGCTGCAAGTCTTTCAGATTAGCTAGTCCAGCAAATATGTCAGTTGGCAGATTAGTTAACTGGTTATGTTGAAGCCACACCTCCCTCAAGTTACCAAGTCCAGCAAATATGCCAGCTGGTAGACTTGTTAACTGGTTATTGTGAAGGGTTAAGTACCATAGGTTACTAAGTCCAGCAAACATGTCAGTTGTTAGATTGGTCAAATGGTTATCACCAAGGTTCAGGTGAGTTAGGCTGGTTAAGTTGTGGAATGTTTTGTTATGGATCATGGAGATCTGATTGGCTTGAAGTTCTAATGTTGTTAAGCTCCTATACCTTGAGAAATCAGACTGACTTAAGGCTGTGATGGCATTGCCTTCCAAGTCAAGTTTTGTGATGGTTGTAGGCAGGTCCTGAGGAACACTGCTGAGGCCGCTGTTGCTGCAGTCACACTTTGATGAACAGCTGCTGCTGCAGGCTGCGGTCGGGCCAGTTTTCCTCATCACGATGATCAGTAGAAGAACCAGCATCCTCCTTCCTTTGCTGGACATACTGAAGTGTTGCCTGTACAACATATAGAGATGAGATACATTAGCATCAAAGTTCATCTGTGGCAGGAATCCCGGATTCAACACATTTGGGAAAATTCAATGTTCCAATAGGATCAGTATGTGGTCATTTTCACTTTCCTAAACAGGGCTCGAAATTCATTACTGGGAATAGGTGCACTGGTGCACCCAACCTAAAAAATTAGGTGCACAAAAGTTTTTTGGGTGCACCATTTAAAACAAAACAAAACCAAACCAAAACAGATCTTACTGCTCCTCTTATGAGCTTGAATCTGAAATGGTAGCTAACTTCAAAATCTTATTACAAAACAATGACATGTACAAAACAAGTACAACAACAAAGATTTTATTATTTTCCTGACAATTAGATGCCAAGAATATCCTGTATACTATCATACATTTCATACATACAAAAATACCTACAAAAATATTTGGTTTCACCAGTGCACCCACAGAAAAAAATTGGGTGCACTAAGGTGCACTTGCACCCTGTATTTCGAGCCCTGCTAAACCACAGAACCAGCTTGTCACTGGCCCAATAAATTTTAATACTGTCCACATATTTTTGTCTGTGTTTTTATCAAGAAATATCAGACACACTTGTACTTCATTTACATCTCACACCTATCCTCATAACAATTGTCATACAGATCCATCTTCCCAAGTTATAGGGGTACAGTATTTTAAAAGAGTCAATTCTGTAAAGAATTCAATTTTTAAGATATATTCACAGATCAAAGAGTGATCGTGACACAGTAAACAATGCCTCTACCCCTGAGCCTGAGGCGTCGCCAAAAAAGGTAATGCTTAACTCAGGACGAACAACATGAAAAACAGAGTTGGAGAGGAAAGTCTGTATCTGAAAGTCTGAGTCCACCAATACAAATTTTCCTTCCAGCTCTCCGTACGGTTTTCATTTTGACCCCTTGTTAGATTTTTATGTAAAAATGTACAACAAGAAATGAACTTGTGAAACACTGGCACATACAGAGATCCTGCTCCAGTCCTATACAGAGATCCTGCTCCAGTCCCTGAAGAAACGACTTGGCCCAAGACAAAGAAATGATGTCTGCAAAAATAAAACAAAGGTGTTTTAAGGCCTTCTGCAGTTCAAAGTACTGTATGCTAAACCATTCATGGTTTTTTTATAAGACACCTGAGAACACAGCAGTAATCTTTCCAACAAGTTTACATCTTAATCTTATCATGGTTCCAAAACACATCCTGATCAAGTATGGCACATAGAAGAAGTTGATAGTCTCACCTCAATATGGAAGGAAGTTGTCTTAAGTCTGCAAAGTCCTTACGTCCCAGTGTTAACTGTGTATTTTAGTGTGTCCTTGTGGTTGAACTACTATACCTGATAATTATAGGCGTTGGGTGTGGAGGATACTGCCTTTTGTATTACATGCCTACAGGTGACATCTATAACCTGTGGTATTAATTATATGTGCCAGCCATGTGAACATAATGAGTTGTTTGTGTCTATCAGGGCTCAACATACTTTTTCTACACTGCTATTCAGTTAAGAAATTGTAATTCAGAATACTGATTGTAATATTTTTTTAGCCTACAAAAGTTCACTAGTCTATATTTTTTCTTGCAATGATATTATTCTCAATTTTTTCCTGAGTGATAATTGCAGGTTTCATCTGGGTATTTTGAGTCCATTACCGTAAACCATCACTTTATGGAGACTGTGTTAAATGGCCATAGGATTATGCTTACTGCATTATGAACCTTTTCTGTTAGGGGGCATTTTTACACTGTCTCTAGAAAAAAAGGATGGTTTTATAATTATTTTGAGGTTTATTGGCAAATGCAATGTGGTGAATCACAAATATTTTGTATTTCTTATCATAGTCACATAGTTTGATTCCAGTTGCACTATTTCCTTTTTTTGAGCAACACAGAGGAAACATTTACAACTGATCATTTACTTGTACATGTTGGACCACAATACCTTGGTAGAGTTGACAAAAAGTTCACTATTTTGTACTGCATCCTTCAAAATCCAGATGAGGAGTCTGAGAATGAAGATGTCATACAGGAGGATGCTGAAGACAGACAGTGGAGGGAAGACTACACAAGGGAGACATTTGGGGATGAGCCACAGCCCACACTGGAGAATGTAGTGTACAAGGTAGGCCATCCTGTATCTTGAAGTCTGCAGTAACCTTATCTATGGGCTCATCCTTGCACCATTGTATCATTTGTAATGGCAAATACATGTACCAAAGAACACATCATATGACCCTTATTTATACTCCGAATATCTAAGTCAGTTTCGGCATTACAGTTTAAAGTAAGCACCCTTACAACATGTTTTGTCTGATGAAGTTA